GAGAAAAAAACCAGTGCCTTTTCCCCTCGCAAGTCGCAACCCAGCGTACCTTTTCCTTTTCTTCCCACAGCTAGGGTTAGCGTCGCCGCCGCCCTCCCCTGTGCTCGTGCCCTCTCCTCTCCCGGCCCGAGCTCCACTGCCTCCAGCCTACGCTAGCGCTCCGTCTCTTCCTCCTCGTTGGCGCTCAATCGGACGAGCGTGAGCTGCAGCAAACGGCAGCGGAGGGAAACGTGGATGAGGAGATCAAGCCAAGGTGAGCCGCCACCGATTTGCTCGCCGCTAGCTCTCTGCTCTTTTGTTCTTCTTCGTGCTAACCGCGTCTCTGCTAGCCGGAGGGGACAACTGGTGCACGAGCTCGCACTGCCCTGGCGCCGATCTCGCGCCGGTCCTACGCCCTGCCACCCTCTCTCGGGACGCCATGGAGATCAACAAGGTGCGCCCCCACCCCCCTCCCTCTGTCGGGGTATGGTAGGTTCGTACTGACCGCCTCCGGCTCGAGCAAGGATCTGCTGCACCTCCGGCCCCTTTTGGTACAGACCTAGCCATATCCTCTATCGGATTACAGTTGTTTACCTCTTTGATTGGAATAATAAATGGGTTCTATTGTTAATTTAACTGTCAAACAGTAGCCGTGAAGCATCATCTCATCGCCCCAGTTTTTATCAATCTGGCTGCTACTGTGTACTTTGTTATGTTTACATGACAAAGAATCGTATTTTTTAAGATGACAGCCACTCTATGCAATTCGTTATGATTAGAGGACAATGAAAAATAAAGTTTCTTTACCAGTCCCACTACTCTATGTAATTAGTAATGCTTAGATGTTATAGTTGAATACAAGTTGACACATTTGAATGGTGTGAAGACAATGAACAAGCTCACTTTTGCTTCGAAATTATTTTTCTTCAGAAATGATCGTGATCTCTTTGCCTTCGCTCTTTGTTTGTGAAGCTTGCAGATTGAGGAGAAGAGAACACATGTAGATAGTTCATCAAAGTTCCTTAACTGCGGCTGATCTTCTTCGTCAGGTGAATGTACTGCAGATTTAGTACATAGAGCTTTTTTTCCTTCTCTAAGATACAGTATACTGCTAATTTTGATGGTTTGTTGAATTATCTTCTTGTAATATATGAGCGCCCGCAATGGCCACCTCGGCACAAGGAACACAGGTTGCAGAGATAGACGTGCGGGCTGCAGAGAGGGACACCCACGACATGGTCGCTACCGTTCGTCTATCGCACGGCAACGGCAGGTCGACCCCACCATCTCTGCCCCTTTTTGATGGCGGCTCTGGAGGACCGAGGAATTGAGGTTGCCCCTTTCGTCTGTTCACATCCTCCGTTAGTATGTTCCCAATCCTCTCTCACTCTCTCTCTCTTGCTTGATCCATATTACAAATGAATACCTGGTGCTAGCATGAACTTGCAGTATACAAAATCTGAATTAGTGATCATGATCATGGTCAAGGTTTGTACTAAAGAGAAGGAAATATGATGAGGCATATATTTTAATTTTCAAGGAGATAGATCACACGCCCGAAAAAAAGAGATAGATCACAAATGTTGTGTGCATGTAAGGTGAGGCAAATTTCAGTGTGTTCTTCGAACTAATTCTCTTTGGTCTTTTTGTAGGTTTTAGATTTTTGAAGATTTATGCGATGGAATCATGATATGTAACATGTCTTCTCCTGAAGAGGTCCGCTTATTACTTGATGACACTGTTGCCGGAAACACGGCCAAGGTAGCTGTGCTCCTCATGATGGAGCAGCGCCTGGGACATGTAGGTCTTATTTGCTTAATTCCCCTGCTCGCGGCTTTTGGTTGTTCCAAAAGATTTCTCCATGTACCATGTAAGGAAATTTGGGGGGAAAACATATCTGATGTATAACATGGTATGTACATAGTTTCTTGGGAGGTTGAAGCCGGAAAGGGAGGAGGAAGATGGCAGCCGCCCCGCCGCCCAAGGCCGACGAGCTGCAGCCGCATCCGCTCAAGGAGCAGCTGCCCAGCGTGTCTTTCTGCATCACCAGCTCACTGCCATGGCGTACCGTGCTCTGCTTCACCCCGCCTCAGGGGCCTCTTGATTTGCTCTTTGAAAGTTTCCCTCTTACATTCCGTGCTTGTCCTTCACTGTCCTCAGTTTTTGCTCCTACTTGTTGTTTCATGTCCAGGCTTTCTTTCCCACTGCATCATGTGTGCTGATTACTGACCTATTTTTGTTGTTGTCGATGCACATCAGTCTTCATATTTTCAGTAGAGAAAGTTTTTTGTTGGAAACAAATTCTTTTGCTTAACCAGTGTGGAAGGTTCATTGATCTTGAATTTATTTATAATGAAAAGGCCTTCAGCTGCACATGTTTTTATGCAATTGATAGTATGTACTACTCATATTAATCAAATAGCATATAAGTTGATGTTCCTCTTGTGCTTGTAATCTTGGGCGGAACCAAGGCCGTGATACTAGGATTTCAACATTTCATAGTCATGTTGGGCACCAGCATCATCATACCAACGATGCTTGTTCCTCAAATGGGAGGTGGAAATGTGAGTCCTCAACTCTTTATTTATCCGCTACCAAATGTTGGTTATATTCACTTGACACATGAATTTGATATCTCTGAAAAAGTACTACTAATCTGGCACTGAATATTCCGCGCATATAAATGATAGACACTCCCTGAATTTCTGTCAGGAGGAGAAAGCTCGGGTAATCTAGACGCTCATGTTCGTCGTCGGCATAAACACCTTACTGCAAACCTTCTTGGGGTCTTGTCTCCACGTCGTGATGGGTGGCTCCAACACTTTCATTGTGCCAACCATCTCCATCATCTTGGCCGGATGCTGAGGCAATGAGGCAGATCCTCACGAGGTACTTATTACTGTCCAGCAGAATTGCCTTCTCAAGTTCTCATCATGTACGAGTTCCTGTACGGAGGCTAACAAATTTGTGTTGTTGTCAAGAAAATTCCTACGGACGATGAGGGGGACACAAAGCGCTCTCATAATCGCGATGATGATTCAAATCATCCATGGTTTCAGTGGTCTCTGGCGCAATGTTGTCCCCCATTATCCGCGGTTCCTCTTGTTTCACTCATTGGATTTGGGCTTTATGAACTTGGCTTTCCAGGCTTTCACCACCGTTGAGTTTCATGTGAACAATCTGTTTTGTTATTTTTATAAAACAATATCATGCCTCATTTTCCATTTGATTTAGTTATTTCAACTTCAACTTTGAGTGTATTAGATATGCACTGAATAGAAAGTATATTACCTTATCTGAGTTGTTGCTGCCACTGAGGTGTTAAAAGTGCATATTCATAGCATCTTCCTTGGCACGATTAATTGCCACCGGTTTACATTCGTATCTTTCAACATTTAGTTCAGGAGCTTGATGAATTTTCCATGTCCTGAAATCATATATATTTTTTAACATGAATTTTGTCTCCACAAAGAACAGTGTGGTAAGCTCTATAACAGTCATTCAGACATCAAATTATGAACTCTCATATTTGATTGCTTGGAAAACAGTTCAAAGCATAGCCAGGAAATGCTGGCGACCGGAATATTGTGATACTATGGATGCTATCAAGCATGCTTTTGGGGGCTTACCGCAGATCATCTGCAAGAAGGGTTCAGTTCAAGAACTAATTAAGGTTAAGCTTCAACAATGATTTGAAGGTGAGTTATCTTTTGTTCTTGGACAGGTCTCCTTGGTTTTCATTTTTATTTGCATGAACACAACATCACTGCTTAAGGAATAATTTTGTCACAACCAAGTTATGCAGCTATATATTTTCTATTGATTGCTTTTCATATGCACCATCTGAAATAAGAGACAGCAATGGTGCCACATATATGTTCCAACATCTTACTTCTACAACAATGTTGCCACATATATGTCTCGGCATCTTCTGTTTCACTTCATCGTCTAATTTATATCAGTCTACATCACTTTTCAAACCACAGGATCCTCATGACCACGGCTAGGAACCTCTAGAGTACATCATCTGCGGTGAGCACAGAGCTTATCTGTACTTTTTTTATGCAGCAGCGTAATTATTCTTGCAACTAAAACTAATTTAAAAACCCATTGATCAGCCTCGGGTGGCTACAGATGCTGCAGCCGGTTCAACCTATGGCCATCATAAAGAACAGGAAGGACTTGTAATGTAGTGGAAGGAGCATGTCCTGCAGGAGATGGACAGCGAGGCCGCTGACAAGGTCTCTGAACGACGCGCTAGCGGTGGTGGCGGCAGCGACCAAGGCCGTTGACGAGAAGATCGCGATGGAGGAGAAGTTTTGGAACTGGAAGATGGAGATTGTTAGGAGGAAGCACAACCACATCTTGTCCCTGTTCAACCTACACAAGGTGTTGGTGGAGAAGAAGCAGGGAAGCTGCTCGCTGAGAAGACCACGCAACAGAAGACCCCCACCGCTGCCGGTGTTATCTCTAGCACGAGCTGACCACATCGGGCGTTAGTTGGATCATAGAATGTATCATGTCATCAGATACATACAGTATATCATCAGTTGCATGTACATTCAAGAGGCTCTCATTGTTTGAATGCAGCTGTGCTACACAAATTGCTGAAAAGAAATCAGAAAGTGTGTGTGTGCCTACCTGGCACCGCACAACCACCTCTCAGGCGGCGCGCCACGGGCGCGCCCCAACCACTAGTATAGAATTATAGATACATATATGCCCCATGAGAGGTCGAGGCAACTACATTGATTTTTTTCTCTCCAACGGAAGCTACTACTAGTGGTCTCATCAACGAGTAGAAGATAAAAACTTTAGCACATATGCATATCAATTCTCCATTTCAACTTTTTTACTTACATCGGGTCACACTTTTTCTTCTCAAACACCCGTCTCCTGCAGAGGATTCCGCTTCCCCGTTCAAACCTACTTTTTCTGACATCCGATTCTACATAGCATACAGGACATCACCTTGGGACTATGCATTGGTCATGTTAGTGTCGCGCCTAACCGGTGGGTAAGAGCTTTTGACGTATTATGTGGCACATTAAGATATTCTTGCACCTTAACTCAACTAAATATTTGACGCATTGCGGTAGACACACCTAACGGATTGATGCGTGGCACTGGTGCCATGCTAGCAAGGAGTCTGACAACCATGGAAGGCGAAACGTCAAAAGCGCCTATGTTGCCAAATAGGCCAAATAATATGGCCCGCATAATAATACATTAATGTGCCACATGGATAGATATGTACGTAGTGTTAGATACTTCTTTTCGTAAAGGAGCGTCAATTTCCTTTGCAAGGGCATCTCCAACGGCAACCCGCAAAAATCCTCCCGCATTCGTCCGCAGACTAGTCGGATAGGGGGGGCTAGTTCGCGGACACAGATGCAGGAGGACGCCATCCAACACTAGCCGCATACATTTTGACAACAACTAAAACCAACCGGACAAAATTTGTGCAAATACGGCCGGATTTCATATAAACATGGCGGATTTCATATAGAAAAGCCGAATTTTCATATAAACATGATGGGTTTCAGTACATTTATACAACGGTGCTAGTCAGACATTTACATCAACGGTGCTAGTGAGGCTCTTGAGGTATAATTAATACCTAATCTAAATCGCCACCCGTGGATTCTTTTGTCTTCCTCATGTCTAGCAACCCGATCACCGGACTGCCGGGAGCCCCAGAGGTATATGCTTCAGCGTAAAGGACAATTCGTTTCCCCACCACTCATCGGAGTGGAACCCCCGGCTAATGCTTCAGTGGGAAGGGAAGGCGGCGCCTCCACTTCCGTGAAGCCCATGTGGGATCGACGGAGGTCCTCGAGAGAGAAGAACCGGGCAAGACACCAGTTGTGTATGTCGGCGTCGCCTAGGCGGTGGCCTTCATGGGACCCAAGCGGCGGCGGACTCATGTGTTCTACTTCTCCTGATGATAGCGGCGGAGGCGCCGGCCACCGACTCGTCGCTCTTCGCGCACCCGGCTTTTGTCTCTGCCTGCATGGCGCAGTCGCGGGCACGGGAGGCACGGGCACACACACGGGAGGCACGGGCACACACACGGGAGGCACAGTCGCAAATATGGGAGGCACGGTCGTCGCGACAGCGATGACGCCCGTGCTGCCGTGCCAGGTGAAGCAACTCGCCACTCCTCATTGAGTGGCCTTGGAGCGGTGAGTTGCTAAACCACGCGGCGGCTTGGGGCGGCAACTTTCTCCGGTGGGTCAGGTGCGGGAGGTGGAGTAGCAAGCTGCCTCGCTCATAAACAGCGGGCTCGACGGGCCACCCATCCGACTTGTATGCCAGAGAAATGCTCTTCAAAAGCCATCGGAAGAGTGGAGAAAATGATGGAGGGGATATGACTGGCGAAGGGGGGGTGCAATTCTTGCCCGACATCTGGCCTCGTATAAATAGAGGGCGGATGGGAGGAGCCCGGCCGGCGATGTCGGCCCGCTCATGAGCGGACGTGTGACCGGAGTAGGTTTCTCGACTTCCATGCGAGTTTAATAAAGACGTGTAAATGCGGTGAGGAGGAGTGCAGCGGGCGGCGCCCTCGGTTGGCGCGCCGCTTCAGTGGCGAGGCAGTGAGAGGTCGCGTCCGCCCTAAGCCATCTTCAATGCGGAGCGGCACGCTCTACAGCGGCAGCAGGTGGCGCCGGACGAGAGCGCGCGCGGGAGGGGGCAGGGGTTTTCGGTAGGCCAGGGCGGTCAGAAACAAGCTTGGGATCGGTCCAAACTCCCACAAACCTCCCCCACTTTGTCTTCCATTTGCAGGAGAAATCGTTCCCGGACCGTCCCGCAGACTGATACAGGTCGGTGTTGGATGGCTTCCGCTGTTTGGACGGTTACATGAGGTTTATTGGTCCGCCTTGAAGATGCCCTAACATACTAATTTGATAGGCACGCCTTTTCTCATAGTAAGACACCTTGAGATATTGTTGGTCGGGATCAAGCCAAACAGATGACGTGTTTCCCTAGTCAAGCGCCTTACCTCTTTGGTCGGTCAAACGAATCGGCACAACCAATGTGGTATGTACTATGATCCCCTCGTAGTAAGTTTAATTAAATCGGGATCGTGCCTTGTCGTGAGGGTGCCGGTATAAACGACTTGTTCAAGCGAATAAAGATCAAACACATGTTGTATAGGTAGGAAGGTAAGTTTAGCACACATTTATTCAAGAGAACAATTGATTTCCAGGTTCAAGAGAAAAAAAACATTCAATCTTGTACCAGAAGGAAGACATCATCAAGTTCAACATGGTCATAAGATTACAATAGCTAATTGCATTTAGTACGTCCCATAAGCAAGGCGGCATCAAGTTCGAAATGCATCCCATAAGCAAGGCAACATCTTCATATGGACCATCCACTTGTGCATCATCATCATCTACTGGTGGTGGTGAGGACTGATGTGTCTTTCCGAATCTCCTACAACAAAAATGGGAAGCTTATTCAGTATAAAAAACATACATCAGTGCAAGGAGCTTCCAAGAGAAGGATGACATGTGAGATTCAGCAATCCATGTAACCAGAGTACTTTGCATCATTTGTAGGACTGTTATAATCACATATCACATTCTAACTCAATTACATGGAAAGTTAGAAAGTGATATGTGATTATAAAAGAATACATGGATAACAAAAGCATTATAGTAATTGGTTAATAAAAGCATTCTCTTTTTGTCTACAATCTACCTGGGTGTAAGAATACAAAAGAAGTTTCAAAGTCCTAATTAAAGTTTCCCCTGAATGAGTATAGTCCTTAAGAAAAAGCTGCAAAAGTAATTGGTTAATAAAAGAATTTTAGTACTGTATACTCCCTCTGTACCAAAATATAGGTCGCTGGGCACTTTGTTGCGACCATACGACCATATGAATTTGATGCGGAGCATCCTACGGACATCACCATGTCAAGAGTACATTCGGCAAGTGACACGTGCGACATCTACTTCACATACATAAAGGTTAATCATCTCCTTTAGACGTGTTCACTTGACCCCTTCGAGGATGGTATACTACTTGACATCCCTCCATGCATAGGTATTACCGGAGCTTCATCGACGACGAGGAGTTCAAGCGCAAGAGAACATCTACACCATCCAAGAAGGGAGAAGGAGGAGGAAGAGGGACCCCAAGACGCGAAGCACCAGAGGCCTCGGACCACCCTAGGTGCCTGGCCCCCCGGCCCCCAAAGGGCGCGGCCCCTGACCACCCCGGGTGCCCGGCCCCTCACCTGGCGCAACCCTGGGTGCCCGGCCTCCTCATCCCAGCGACTCCTGGGTGCCCGGACCCCTCCAGCAATGCCTGTGTGCATTAAGGGCCAAATGACCCATGTACCCCTATTTCTCCCCATATCTTCCCTAGGCTACAAGTAGATGTTCCCTAGCTCAGAATTAGGGTTAGCTAAGATTAGAACTACACATTGGAGCTTAGCTCATGTACCTCCCCTTGTGGGACTCCTCTTGAGAGAGAGAGGCACTCCATTGAAGTTCAAGGCCTCCTTTGGAGAAGATCCCTAGTGTATTCAAGACTCCATCTAGGGAAGGATCTACCTAGATCATCAGGACCTCATCTCCTTTGGATTTCGAATGAACTCTACCTTGTATCTTTGTTCCTCTTGTTGTTCATGTACCTTTGTGGATCTTGTGTGGATTTGAGTCTAGTGGATGTGTGATTGGACTTGTTCTTCGTGTTCTTCGCGTTCTTCGTGGATCCCCCTCCAATTCATGAAAGTTCTCCACTTAGGGTCTCCACCCTACAACATCTTGGTATCTAGAGCCACATTGATCACTGTAAGTGCATCTAGTGCCCCTTAGTTATTTTGGTGTATTGAAGACTTATAGGTTAAGGGACTAATATGTTTGTGAGTCTACACAAGCTCTATAAGTCGATGAGGAGTTTGATATTTATGATGAAAGTCGACCCCTAAAAATGTATGTCTTCAGCTGAAGACTTTGTTAAGACTTTGGTTCTCCTGAAGATTTTGAAAGTGAAGAAATTGGTGTGACCTTGAAGACTTGGGTATTCATGCGAGGATTATGAAGCGTGAAGACTTTTATTTTCGTAGTTTCATTTTCTCTTTCTTGAGTCATAGGAAACACCGTACTGTTAAAGGGGTCGAGGTAATACTAAGGAAACTGATTTATAAGTGATGCTCATCTCAAAATCCTACAACTACCCAATCCTTTCGAGTGAAGCCATTGGAAATCTCATATCAGTTCAGTCAATTTCTTCAGTGACAGAGACGAAGATCTTCTGGTCTCTGAGGAATTTTTCCTGACTGAGGAGTTAGGAATTCGCCAGTGCGGATTGCCTACACAGTGAGGAACATGATAGCCCTGAGGAATTTGAACATCAAATATCCGACCGTTGTTGTGCTACGCGCTAGCTGTCCCAAAAATATCTACCCACCTAACGGTCATATCATTGAATGGCATTTATGTCTTATCATGTCGGGCTGCTCCCTAGGCTATAAATAGCCGCCCCCT